CAGGGGAGCAGACAACACAGTAACAAACATGGGGAGAACGGAGGAGGAGCACAAGGCGGGATCACATCACTTCAGAACCAATGAGGGATACATGGGAAGAAGAACACTCTCCCAGAACCTATAGGAATCCAGGGATTACATAGATGACACAGAGGGTTCTAGAACGAGAGGCTGGGATTCCACTTAAATGACAAGGCAGAGGGCAGGGCCACAATGATGGACATGGAAGGATCGGGAATTAGGGGTAGATATTTGCACTGAGAGACAGGAAAGGGGGCAAACAGCATTGGGCTAAACCAGCTGTGAGGTGGTTGCTAGGAACAAACCATTCAAACATACTGAGTATATTACAGCAATAACCAAAAGGATTATCACAACAAAGGTGCACCACCACATACCAGGACCTTATGAGTTATAGCCCTGCAAAACCAGACAGTGAAAAGAAGCAGCTCACAAGAGCACTAAGACCATATTAATTGTGTTTAACCATAGGCAGTACACTGAGCTCATGGTAGGCTGCTCTTACTGGAGAGGAAACAAACGGTGGGTTCAGCCCAAGGAGGAGCTGAGAACTCCTCTCTATCTTCACTGATTATTAGGGTCTGATTACTAAGCAGTCTTTCTTTAATACACATATCAGCAGTAGAGGAACTGGGAATGAGAATAAAATTTAATTTAAGTAATCACAACTTACAGTCTCAATGTAAGAATTTAAATTTCTTCATAGATTTTTACATTGAACCCAAAGGCCTGATCTATGAAAAATACTACCTAAACCTAAAAATTCCCAGTATATATGTTCATGTTCACATGGACTAAGAGACTATTACATCTTTATTTCTTTCTGCTTTATGCCAGGTTGCTCCTTCAGCCTGATGACTCTTTGCAGATTCTAGCGCCTGTGGAAGCTGATGTGGGTTTCTATGCTTGCAATGCATCCAATGCCCTAGGATCTGACTCTGTCTCCATTGCTGTCACATTAGCAGGTAATAGTTTAACCTCTGTGTTTGCAGGATTGTCTGTGTTACTTGTGTGAATCTGGACAGTTGTTTGTGGGGGAACAGATGGCTGCTAAAGTTATGTAACATGCATCAACAGAAGTATACTGGTGAAAACACAGGGTGTGAGCTCTGCAAAAACCCAAGGCTTTCATAGATCGTTTGTGAGATTTACGTGTCTCTGCAAGACATCAATGCTTTTTCTTACTTGCATCTGACATGCTCTTAAAACAGTGTCCTGGTTATTTGCAGCCTGTAGGGGCAGTGCAGTCCAAGCCTGCCAACTTCTGTGCTTCATTTTAAACATAACACTGATCTCTTCAGTATAACAGATGGATTGCAGGAGTTACTCAGGTGTACATTAGGCAAGCAAGAAAACTTCCAGAGCTGAATCTTGTACAGGATCAAACACTGTATTGTCCTCAATCACAAGCGTGGCTGACACTGTTTCAATTGTAGCAAATAGAGGTTCTCAAAAAATTAGACTCGGTGTTTTTATTCCTCTAGTAGCAGATTCTAAAGCAGACTAAATATCCTGTGCTGGTTTAGAATTCAATTCTAAAGAAAACTCATCCAGATAAATGCCGGTGGCAAAGGGAGTCAGAAGTGTGAATCCAGCTTCTTCGTGGTTCCCGAGCAGACATGGTCGGCAGGCTCACCTCCACATCAGGGCTAGCGGAAGGGTGGAGCAGCAAACGTGAATGAAGAGCTGTTAAGATACAGGAACAGAACAGACAATGACAGCTATTGATTGTGACAGGGCAGAGAGGTTTTACAGAAGGAGGATCCCGTTTATCACCAAGGCAAAAGTAAACATGCTAAGAATACTGAAAGGCTTATTAATTTTGCAGACTTATCCATTTCACTGCTTCAGCATGTGAAAGTGCTTGGAGGCTTCCAATGCATAGGCAGCAACCATCAGCTGCCATTGTATCCATGTATGACTAGAGGAAGGAATAGCTGTTGATAAGCTTTAATTTAAAAAAAAAATTACACCAAACACAGAGAAGATTTCAGTTGAGAGAAGCATAAAGAAAATGTAATAAGGCAACAGTGGATAGCAGTGAAGCTTAGAAAATCAGTATCTCAACTAGAAAGAGACTTTGTTTTGTCTTTTAGCAGAACAGGTGACTCTTCCAGAGCAAAAAGAAAAATCTGCATCAGAGCTACAAATTACCAGTAGGCAAAACTGAAGAGACTGATCCTTTTTACACTACTACTATCAGAAATAACTTTGCTGAACTCCAGGCATCAAGGTAGTAGTGCTGCTGTTAGGGTAGTATCATATTTTAGAAGTACCAGCTCACACTAAACCTACTATGCTGCACCAGCATGAAGCTGAGCATGAGATTAAAAAATCATCAGTCAAAACCGCTGTTCTGTCCACATTGTTTAGTGAGTGTAAAAGGCATCGTTTTTGTACATGTTGTGGCAATATTTTTGTATAACACTGTAAAACTAAAGTGTTAGGTCTATATGTCACACAGGAAGACTTTAGCTTTTTAATTATAATTAATTATCAAAGCTATTATTTAAACATTTAGGTGAACTAACATTCATGCTTCCCAGACTCAAGCAAAACTCCTCTTAGGAACTGGTATACTTTTGCATCTCACATCTAAGGTAAAAAGCTGAACAGCCTATAAAATGAGACCATAAATATCAAAGTGAAGTACTGATCAGTTCTTGGAACAAATTAACAATCTTTTTACCATAATGGGTGTATTTTCTCCAAAAAACATGGAAAGCTGAGATCATCTTAGAGGAACCAAGAGTGGGGATGAAAGCTTATTTCATTAAAGAATTTTCTGATTCATTTAACACATGCATGGAAAAAAAAGACAGTGGAATATGCTCCTTTTTTGTTTTCACAATGGTTTCCTACTTGTTAATGGGTTGAACAGCTAAAAATTAAACAACTAAAATTTTTAGTCTTGTGGCGGGGTTATGGAAACCAATCAGGAAAATAAAAGGCTGATGGATAGCTGAAGAATTTTTCTTTTCTTTAGACTTTACCAAAAGAATCAAAACTTTTGGAGGTATTCAAACAATAAAACATAGTCTTTTACTTAGCTATTCTTGGGTATTAAAATAATCAAACTAAAAAAATGTGAAGTAGAAAAAAATACCAAACTGATATGACAGGAGTTACAGATGAAGGTTATCTTTTAAAAGGCCTGGAAATACAGCTATATGGAGAGATTTATATTTAAGACTGACTTAAATTTTCAGAACTCTCCATGAGCTCAATGAAATCAAATTATTTTTCTCAGATCCATCTTTTCTTCATTGGTCAGTGCCAAATTAACATACAAATAAAACTAGTGATAGACATTAGCCTGAAACTTCAGCTTTTGGCGTCGCATAAGGATATCTGGTTTTGTATCTGACCAGTTATTTCAAATGGGGGGAAAAAAGGTGTTTATAGATTTTTAGAAAATTATGTGTTTGAAAATGCAACACTGAGCCAAAACCATCGAAGTCTCATGTGATTTAAAGCACTTCTGTTATCTTCTGCTATTCTGGCAATATCCTGACTGCAGAGCACTTTCTCTGAGGCAGGGGAGCACCTTAATTCAGCTCTTGTCAGCTCTGCTGCTTTAGTGCTCTCTCTCAAAGCTAAGCTGGCGGACCCCTGACCTGTTTTGTGAGCATCCCTTTACAGTAGCCCTACAAAAGGATATGCAGAAGGTTTCTTGAGCCACTGATGGTGGATAACTTCATAAGAAATCACAAAGACACAACAGCAGCAAAACACCTTGACTTGCTATCACCAATGTTGAAAGTACACTTTATTGTGGTCAAAATGGTAGCTGTATTAGAGATAAATCCCTTCCCATCAGATAACCTGTTTTGTTTAATCAGAAATGTGTAGTATCAGTGTATAACATTAATTCAGTTTTTATCCCTCATTTTCTTCTGCTGGCCATTATGAGTAAAGGTCTTCCCCACCCTGGTGTTTCCCCTGTTGTTTAAAGAAACCATGATCAATGTGTAGAAACAGCTTGCGTGTTACTCTAGACTTTCTCTGCTGTGCTTGTAGCCATCACTCAGGCTCCTGGGGTTGGTCTTTACCAAGGGGGGACGGTGCACTGCGGCGCCAGGCAAGCGTCTCACTGCAGCTCCAGCTGTGCTGGTGGTAATTGATTCAGCTGTTCTCGTGCATGTCCTTATGGCTTCAATGCAATTCTGCCTCTGCTTCAAGCATGCCTTTTCTTTTTTCAAAACAGCTTTACCCATGGACTTTGGTGACACTGAAATATTGTAAAAAGTAGGTGGCCTTACACTTCATTTTCTGTTATCCACCTGCTTGTCGTGTCTACTTTTACAAAGAGTGTTCCAGCCTGACTATCCCATTGTGACTCTGATATGCTTGTTACGATAAACTGTGATGCTTCTTTTTGCAGGAAAGCCACTGATAAAGACATCAAGAGCTACCATGATCAACACTGAATCACCTGCTGTCACTGTTGATATTGGAAGCATGCTGAAAACAATCCAGAAAGCAAATGTTAGCATTAACTGCCAGGTTGCAGGTAAAAAATTATTCTCTCCTGTGCAGGTGCCTTTGGCTGTAAATTTCTGTGGGATTCTTTGCTGAATTGCTATCTCCAGTTGCAGCTGAGTGAAATTGCAAGGTTCTCCTAGCTCTTGGACAAACTTCATTGCTTCCATTAATTCTTATCACAGAACTTGTCTTCCTTTTATCCGTATCAAACAAGGCAAGTGTAGTGGCTTAAGAAAATTGGGCTCAAAAAAAAAAAACCCTGAGTCAATGTGACGGGCATCAGTGTAAGAGATACACAGTGTGGTGTGGCTGCAACAAAACTGATACACATGGCTACCGGTTGGGGATGTTCAGTGACAATATACAAGCATGGACTGACTAATTTTGTCACTGATGGGGACTTTAAAAATCACTCCAGCTAGTTTCTTATTTTTCTGCCAAACTTATTTTACATTAAAGGCATATTAGCACTTTTTTTTCTGGTTTTTTTTTTCTTTTTTTTTTTTTCATCTTGGAATTGCAGGTGTTTAGAGGAATTCTACTGAAACAGGATTTTCCCTAAAACTGTTTTCCAGTCAGAGACTAAATATCCCTCAGTCTTACAGTGACAGTTTGCCTCTTTCCAGTGGTAACCAAAATAGGTGGACCTTATCTGTGTGTGGCAGTCCTTATGGCTGTTTGGAATGACGTTGAGATCAGGAGGAGGAGCTGGGAAATCTCTAAAGACCTGGGGCCATACCATGGTTTCATTACACTTTTATGCATAGTATGACACACTCTTGCAATCAGACTGGTGTTCAGTGACTTTCAAGGAAGAAGATGAAAATGATACCTCTTTTTTTTTCCCAGGCCTCACCATGCTCACCTGCATGGACACTGTGTGAAAGAGACTAAACATTACATTAACACCAATTATTTTGTATTTGTCTCTCTAGGTTCTCTTAGCTGCCCAGGCACATAACACACAGATTCAGACAGTTATTGGTGATCTGAGTGTAGCCATTTCTCTTCACCAAAAGCACCATGTGAACAACAGAATGTGACTAAATAAAGTTTCCACAGTGCTTATAGTATCAGAAAACTACAGGAGAGAAGCACAAAATGGTCAGGGGCACAAATTCAGAGTCTTTTCTGAGAGGAAAATAATCTCTAGCAATTTTGTGAAACTCACCCACTATGACAACATCCAAAATGGAAAATTTTAGTTTCTTGTCTTCTTGTCTAATAGAAAGCTTTTTGCTATCTAGTATCTGTATGTTGGAGTCTTCTGTGACAGAGAAAAAACTTCCTTAAATCCTAATTTTCTCCATGGGTGAAAAAAAATCCGCTGCTGCCTCTGCGAAAAATGTTAACTATGTTGACACCAGAGGGTAATGCCCTTGAAATTATCATAAAATCACAAGCCCCAAGCTGTGATGTTACAAAGGGAATAAGAGAGTGAGTAATGAGGACAGATATGTTTTATGGGCACTGGAATCCTAATTTCATAAAAATAGTGTTAATAATTCAACAGCAATTACAAAAAAAGCTACCTTGAGGAATGATCCAAGAACAGGAATTTCTATCAGCTGTCTCACCTACACCTGGAAAATGCACTAGCTCATAAAGTCTGTAACATAGTATGAGAATAAGTGTAATTTTCCTCCTAATGTAAGCACAAACTTTTTGATTTAGCTCTATGATTATTCACCTTTTACATAGTTTTGATCACCCTTAGAACAATCAATTCTAAGGATAAGAGTGACATGCGCTACTTCTGCAGTCAGCAAATGTGTTGTATACTAGTGATTTCTTTTGGGTAGATAAACTTTACATCTGTATAGTTTGCCAAAGCCCCCCAGAAAACATTAACAATGAAATAGCTACTAAATCATAGTAAATTAACATGCAACAGTTAATGCAATAGCATCTGGCAATAAAAAATAGATTAGTATGTGAGAGCAAAGTTAACACAGTTAGAAAGCAAACTAGTTAGAAAGCAGATCCAGAAATTATGTGGAGACTTGTCTGGATAAAACAGCTCTTCACACAGTCTTGTAAAGCTATAGTTTTTTTCCTTCTAGTACTTCCTCTCTAGTCATATCAGGATGTCCTGAGCCAGCAGAACCAATGAGAGTTCTAGATCAGTTCATCCGATTAATATGAGCTGTGTTTCTATCACTGCGCTGTACAGCCTCTGGTAGAGGACCATGCGTGTATTGGATCTGGATAGCTCAGCTCACCTAAAGACACATTTTTACTGAGTCAGCAAGACAGCAGAATAAGTACTTACAAGAGAAATATTAAGTCTCAGTTATGGTATTCTCTAAAGCTGCGTTTTCTGTCAAGTGCCAGAAATACACACTTGCTGCTGGCACGTGTTGATAAATCTGGAGGAGTTTCTAAAAATAAGAGATAATGGAAGAGTACACAATCAAAGCCTAGGGAGTAATCCTATATTGCTTTTCAACTTCTTAAGACAGGCATAAGCACTGTCAAAGTCTGTCTTCTGAGTGGAAATCTATAGATATTAACTAAAAGACAGGGGGATATAGAGTCATTCAGGATGCATTAGAGTTAATTGGCATGTGATGTGATTTATGTCAAGATGAAGCTCTATTTATTTTAGTTTTACCACAAAGACAGTGTCATGGTTTTGATCAAGATTGTAAGCCAACAGTATTTCACTTGACATAAAATAATTTCTTTGTCTATAGAGGTTAAGGAATATATTTAACTATAGTTGGGTGATTATTGTCAATTCCAGACTTCTCCAAAACTAATCCTAGGGGAACTCCCACTCAAAAGTCAGTCAAAAGTCTTCCAGATGCCTGTGACTGCCAGCTGGAGGATTTGCTCCAAGCCTCAGAAAGCCAATAGCATTTTTGGTGTGGGTAACTTTACTACTGTGCACCATTTCACTTAAAAATAGGATGTGAGAGCAACATCAGCATCACAAGGGAGCTTTCTGTTGATTTCAGTGCTTAAATAGTGCAGATATTCATTTACATACCAGAAACTTCAAGCAATATGGCCCAGACTGTTACTGAAAATACAGTTTGACATGTAAGAAAGAACAAGTTTTTTAAATCTAGTTTGTAGGGCATTCTGCAATGCTAAAATGTCATGTGCAATTAGTGACTGTCAAGTCAGAACAGGTTTAGAAGGGTGGCTTAAAATATGTTACCTTCCTGTCCTTTACGTCCTTGTATCTTTGTTACTCTAATTTGTAGTTCTCTCAGTTCTCCTAAACAGTCCTTTCCTCTGTATTTCACCTACATACTGAAGGTTTTATTTTCTAGTTCTTGCCTTGGTTTATGGCCCGTGTTTATTCATCAGCTATACCAGATTGTGAAATATTATTCACCATTTCAAGAATGTTGTGGCATTGGAAACTAGTCACCACTGTTAGAAACTTGTATTGCAATGATTCCTTTCTCCCTGAGCCACTGGTTTAGCAAAATTATCTCAATTAGCTTACACAATTCTGCTTACTAGTATTCCAGGTAGGCTTTTTGTGCTGGATACATGCACATGGATGGAGGGAAAAGCTGAAGAAGAATAGGCTTGGGTAATTACTCACTACCTAAAGTCTTGCCTGCCAGCAAAGTGAGTTCTGTTTCCAGCTGGCACCTCTCAGACTGAGTCTCTGTGATACTTGTGCAAGGGGAGCAGTCAGCCCTCTGTCCTCTGAGGCGTTGCCCAGCAGAGGCGGCTGAGAGGCTCTTGCCCTCACCCCTTGCAGCGGTGATGAGACACGGTGTGTTTGCTCATCCCTGTGCTGGCTGCCTCCTGCTCCAATCTCGAGGCTGCTTGTGTCACTGGAGGTGGGAGCTCGAAAGAAAATAAAACTGCTGCTCATTGACGTACGCTGCTCATCTTCCCCAAAGCAAACTGCAGGAACAGCTGTACCTGCAAATCTCCTGTTAGTGTGGGAACACTGAAGGCAGGGGAAGGACATGCTTGTAGAATGCAGTTAGAAAAACGTTTTTGTGGCATTGGTGTAGACAGTTTTGTAGGCAGAGTCTTCTAAATCTAAGAATCTTCCTTAGATTTAACAGCAATACCTCAACATTAAGGGGATCTCACTTTTAACCCCTGTTTCTTCTGCTGCTAGTGAAATGCAGAGTAATCTGCCTTTATAGACTAGGACTATCTGAGTAGCTGCCTGCGAGAAGCAAACTAGTTGTGTCTGTCTCTGTATTTATTTAGTTGTTTTATTTGAGTCGCTGCTCTATAGGACTGTGGCCATATGAAATCTTCCTTGACCCTTCCTCTTTTTCTTTAGCCTTCACTCAGTATTTCTCATTTCATCTTGAACTACTTGCCTTACAAATATTTTTGCCTTGTAATACTTGTGTTAGTTACACTTTGCCAATGTTTTTTCCAGGTGTTCCTGAAGCAAAAGTTACTTGGTTTAAGAACAAGGTCAAGCTGTCCTCTACTTACCATCTGCATAATGGTTTGCTGTTAATAGCAAATGTTTCTCTATCAGATCAAGGGTTATACTCCTGCAAGGCATCCAATCCCCACGGGGAAGTAACTGAAAGCTCCCAGCTGTTGGTTCTTGGTAAGTCCAGGGTATTTTGGTATTTTGGACTGGCAACAGCAGTAATGTGACTACTGGCACATCCAGATGACAGAACTAGTTGGTTGTTGTGGAAAGAGGAAATGGCATGCAGGCAGCCCTGTTCTAAGGAAAGCATCAGTCTCCATTTGTACTCTGGGCAGCATCATCTTAAGCAAGGTGATGGTAAAAGGAAAGCGGATAAGGAGAAAACATCTAAGGACAGAGATTGCACCTCCCAGTCCCAAGATACTCCCTCAGAATTGGTAGGTAAGAAAAGCATTTCTTAACCATGTCTTAAAGTGACTATCTTAAAATGAGAGTGATGGCATTTTTCCCTGTGAAGTGCTCTGTCTCTGCTGAGCAGTCTTCCCGTTCAAGGCTGTGTGATACTGACACACTTCACAAAGGTCCATAAAATCAGTGTGCTTCTAAAAAGTACATCTCAAGTTCTGTGAATGGTGAATTTTACTTTCCCCGTGCTTTAAAACACCAGACAGAAAGCCCATCTGTGTGATTTGAAAGAGAGTGGCAGCTGTGAGACGTGAGTGGAAGTGGTACCTGGTGGAAACTGGAATTGTGCGAAAGGCAATTCTGGGAAAGGCGTTTCCTTTCCTAGTAACTCATCTTCTATAATTTCTGCCTGCCTGGTAGATGACTGATCCAGACAGACTTTTTAAGTACTTTAGTAGTGCATTTGGTGGCGAAGTCTCAAATTTGGAAACCTATTCCCCACAACTGGGGCAATACCATTAGAGCATCCACTACAGCTCTCATCTTTCATAACTAGCGAGCTTCCAGAGGATGTATAACAGTGACATTTTCCCAGACAGTACTAAAAGGAAGGTTCAAACTTTTCTCCCACTAATCTGGACTGACTCTAGAATATCAGTCAAAAAAAAAATCTGGAAAAAAAATCAGCTGAGTTTCAGCCTATAAATAAATACTCCCAGGTGATCTCTAAATCCTTTTCTGATCATTATAGATGGCTTAGCTTTTAAAGATGGTAAGTTACTGTGAGTTATGCAAGCTGCTTATGTTTGTAAGCAAATTACATTTTTAGCTCCTTGATGGAACAGACAGTTCAGGTATCCTTCACCTGTGCTCCTGGTGCTGAGTGATACCAGCAGTAGAAAACTTGCATAATGGGTGCCGTGATCTAATTGAAAGGGGATGAAGCCACTGTTCATTTTGATCAAATATCACATCATTTTCATGACAAGCAGAATTGGGAATGCTAGGCGTTACCTCAATTTTTAAAATAGCATTGTGATTAGTAAACAACTAAATCCTGCAGTTCTCAGCATAGACTGATCCTCTTGAACTCTGAACTCTTAGTCCTTTGGAGTTCTGCCTAAGTATACCACAGGGTCTGGCAGCATTATAACTATATTTAATTAGGGCTTGATCCAAGTTGTAGCAGACACTAAAAGTTTTTCATTAATTGTCATGAACATTTCCTTCATCCTCTACGCTGTATATAATTGTTTTTTCTTCCAAGCTGCTGTATCTCCAAATACCATATAACTCTGTCATATATGAATAGGGACAACCAGAATGCTGTGGTAACCTTCAAAGATGATTTCTTCCAGTTTGTGGTCACAATGACACAGATGTTATTTTAATAATTTCTCCAGCACCTTACCTCACATGAGGCGAAGTTTCAGTAGTTATCCAGAGTTGCTTTATCTGCCCCTCTGAAATGGCACTGTTGCAGCACAGTGAAAATTGCAGCAATATCTGGCGAGGGGGAGGTGGGAGGGGTAGTGGGAGAAGAGGAGCAGGGTCTGTGTCCCAAGATGTTTTCTGCTATAGTGTTGCTCATTGTCCCAATCTGTTACCAGAGCCTCCACGACCTCTTCCTTACCTAGAAGACTTGACAGCAGTGCTTAGCAGTGCTGGGCCCAGCACCCATTCAGTGCTGACTTCTCCTTCAGGAACAAAACTGACTGTCAGTCCAGGGAGCTCTGCTCTAATAGGTAAGTCAAGTGCTTTAAGATTTTTAAATTTTAAAGTCTTTAGAGTTTATATTGCAATTACGCATCTGGTTGGCCTTTACATTAAGGATTTGGTTGTCCAGACATGGGCACTGAGACAAAAGACATCAAACAAATGATTTGTTGTGGGTCATAATCACTGCCAAATACTTTTTAGACCTCACAAATTTATTTTTAAAAAGAAGGTCCTTTAATTAGTCCAAAGCTGCATGCAGAATAAGGGGTCCATGGTGCCGCCCTTTATATATATACAGCACCCTGTAAGAAGCAGTTCCTGCCCTGGAGAGCTGGAATTATTCAACACAAAGACAGGGCAGACCAGAGTACTACTTGATCTAAAAGAAGAGACGTTGGTGGTTCTGTTTTAATTTTTCTTCTACATTTGAGTAGTTGCCTTTCCATATGCCTGCTACTCATGTTGTATATCCTTCTTCAGAGCCTTTCCCACAGTTTTGTCTATCCCTGTCTACATGTTTTGATCTTGCAAGCTCTCTGTTTTAATCTGTTCATTTTACTTCTCTTTCTTACTTCACACAATCAGTGCTTTGCATGAAGCCATATAAGGAATCATTCATCCCAAATGAATGCTTTTCTTCTTTTCATCCTTTTCTGCCTTCCATATAGCTTTACCCACTTTACACAGCAAGTTCTTGTAAACTCTAAACTCCTGTAAACTCCTTTCAGATATGTGGATGTGATTTGTTTGCAAAGTGATTGTCATTCTTTTCTAAATTTCAGGGTTTATTTATTTTATGATTTCATTTCACAGGCTGCTTTGAAACTCTATTAATTGTCAGGCTCAGATTGGCAAGCAGCTTCCCTAATGAACACATTACTGCATACCATGAAAACGAGTCAACCCTTCAGCTTCAGAACTATCTTTTCTCCTTTTGGGGGAAGGGATCTGAAACTTTTAGCAAGGGTTCTGCAGATGAGATGTCCTGAGTGTTAATACATCTCTGCACTTTCCAAAGCATTCTTTCCTCACATTTAATAGCAATTTTGAGATTTTATTTTCACAGTGGAGACATTCTATTTATGTGTTTCTTTTTGTGTGGTTTACTTTTCCAAGTATCTGCATACATCTGCATACATTTGCAATGGCTTTTAGCCTGCAGCTCTGGATTACATTTCTGCTTCCACAAAAACTGCATTGAAATAGTCCTCAGTGGGGAAGATGTCATAGGTATTTACTAGCATTGAGTAAATCATTTTGAGTATGGTTTTATTGTGCTCACTGATTTAAGACTGGGTCATACTCCTGTTTCATCCATTCCCTCTCAGATTTCCAAAAAGAGGACTTTAGGAGTTTCAGGCAGTTTTTATTGCTTAGAAGAAGTAATTGAATGACAAAGGGTTTTCTGCCCTGCATGTATACAACCACATCCAGATCAATTTCATTTGGCCCTGTTGCTCTGTACTGTGCTGTTTCACTTCATGGGCAAGGAAATTCCATGGATTGCAATTGCAAAATAGCAAACCAGCAAACCAATTCTTGAGGCAGTTCCGTCAACTTCACTGGAGTTTTACTGGTTTAAATTTGAACCTTGTTATTATTCAAACATAGGAAAATCTTCTGAGATATTTTTCCTAGCAAAATATCAGCATGGAGTAGGCTATCCAGTCAATTAGAAAATTGTCCATTGATTCTTTCCATTCTACTACCCACCCAATCAACCTTAATCCTGCTAAGCCTTTCATCATTTATTATGTTGAGGTGTTGGCTCTACGTTCTCTGGATGTCCCGTATAAGAACTATGGGTATATAAATTGCTATGTGTGAGATCCCTTATCTGTGCTACCGTTAGGTACCAGTATCTCTTGGGACTCAAAAGGTATTCAATTTGACATGTATTTGGAAATCTGGCATATGAAGAATTGTTGAGTAGCGAAGGAAATCAGGATATGTGCAGAGGAACAAAGTGAAATGTGAAGAAAAGGAGTGATAATGAGCTCTGGGTGAACATTTTATTTTACTGGAGTTAAAGACAACAGAGTGAAAAATGATGTTAGAAACCTGGATAAAGTCATGCATGGGTTTGCCAGAGTTTAAGAAAAATGGGAGTCAAAACTTCATTAATCACTGGTTTCATGCCTTGGGGGTTAAAAATGCAAACAGTAAATATTAATACAGTAATGGAAATCTAAAGCTACAGATGAGAACTTGCTTGGAAATTAACACATCTGCATCAAATATTTTAAAATTGATAAAATGAGCTACAAGGAAATAAATAGAACTTCCATGTTATTGTACATGCTATACATTATCTTTTACAAAGTGGATTTGTGCAATGCTTCCACCATCATTTCAACCATGTAAAATTGTTAACTTGCTGTCTGGAATCATCTCCTATGGGTTTCTTCTACTTAAATTCCAAGGGGGTTGCTGAAGATAAAGATCAGTGTCACAACACACGCATATCTGGTTTGGAGGTTTTCCTTCTTATTGCAAGAGAAGTCATTTATGTGCCTTCACAATAAAAGCAGGGGAAACTATCTGTTAAAAGACCCATGCCTTGCTCAACAGCGTCAGCAACATTTTTATCTTATATACTTCTTTTGCTTCTTAAGTTTTGATATTCCAGCCAGCTTTCTAGGCCCAACTCATCATTCAGTTGAAGAGCATGATGTAGATGGTGGCTTGCACAGAGAGATGCTTACCCTGCTCCTTCATGAATGTTGAAAATGTGCAGAGTACTGCAGTCTCCCCCAGTCCTCTCATTCATTATCAGGTTGCGTAGTAGTCACTTGTCTGTTACCTGCAGATCACACACCTGAAGGACAGGACTATCTCCAAAGCAGAGCTAGAACACCCATGAGCTTGGAAATATTTCTGGGTTTTACAGTATTGCAAATTTGCAGTCAGTGATGAGCCACAGACTGTCATGCACATGCTGATGTTCTTGGTTCATGGCAGACACACAAAAAGACTTTACATTATACATAAGATAAAACACAGTTGATTTCTGAAGTGACACAAATTTACATTTGTCTGGAAAGTTTTTACATTAGGTCTTAAACTTACTAGTGTTTCTGTCTTTGGGACTTTTTAAATTTTGATTACATTTGTCCTGAATGTTGGTGGTGAAAATGTTATAAGGAACATCGCTCTTTTCACCTCAGAAAAAGTATTTTGTTTGTCACCTGGTAAAAAATTTTAGGTTTTAAAAATATTCATGACCATCTGACTTCTGTCAATTCTGATTACTTCATGGTGCTATCTTTTGAAATTATATGAACATGCTAAGCTCATGTATTTTCAGTAGTTTATCAATGCTACAATTTTTTTACCAAGTCCTTAGACACATTTCCATGAGTCTTCAGCTCTGTAAATGTTAATAGTGGCAGGAACCAAGCTTGTAGGATCCAGTGTTCCTGACTTCTAAAACTCCTGCAGAAAATGCTTTGGGCCTGTCAAGAATATGTGCTTTCATTTGGGTGCAAGCTTGTTATTTCCTGTATTTGAATATAATTCAGTGGAAAACTAAGGATCTTACAGATCCTCATGGAGATTCACTACAACTTCTCATATATATTGTGTTATTATTGGAGACCAATAATCAGCAGACTTGGCAAAAGACACAAAATACGATTTTAAAATATGTCCTTGTTTCAGCACTGAAAAATACTGAACGTGTTGTAACTGTTTGTACAGTGAAAGATGAAGCTTTAATGACCCTGACATCTATACATTAGTTATATTTAAGCGAGAGTTCTGCAGGAACACTGGAAAAAGTTTCAGAAATAAATACTTCTAGGAATATGAACATGTAGTACTCCCTGTAAATTTTCAGACTGAATTAAAGAAGGCAGAAGAAAAATGGTATTGTTGGGAATCTGATAATATGAATAAATGGGGAAAAGCCTAGGCAATTATTTGAAGTCTGGTTCCCATCCCTCCTTACTTTTAAGGGATACTGAAAATTACTCTGAAGTTAGATCACAACGTGTATTTTTCTATGACCAGAAAAGTACAGTCAGTTGTAAAAAAAACCGGGAATACTGCTGCACTGTATTTATTGTGTTCTCCTTGATTACTTCCATATTTACTCACTTCACAAATTAGAACGTGATTTTACTGTCAGCACTGCAAACATAGTCCTAAAAAGCAGGTTTCTTTCTGGTTTTATATGTTATCCCAAATGACCACAGAATTAGAGCAGCTTTGCTGCCAATTTCACTACTGCTTCAGAAGATGACCAGCTGCACAACAAAGTTTGTTCTGCAAATATCAATATTTGAAATGCAGCTCTTTCTAAGACAAAGCAATAAAAACTTTTTCACTCAAAAGGTACAAAGGATTTCTCTGTACCAAATTTACTGTATTTCATTCTCATTTTTCTTTTACTGGCAGTGGCATATCCCACTCATTTTCCAGTAGAATTGCTTAGGTTCCCAGAAGACCACCCAGAAAGCAGAATCAAAAAAGAGTCACCTTGCTTGCAGTGGTCAGCCTTCTGAGTTTGAATAAATTACTTATTTAAGAGGTCCAACTGCCTTGGTGCCAAAGCCCAAAGTTCAGAGTGGGGTCAGGTTTTTTATTATTTCAGATTAGTACTGACTAGCTTCTGACTAGTACTTGCCAGTAGGTTTAAGGGTTATCTAGACATGATAGCAGGCAGAAAATTAACCTAGATGTTTCTGCTTGTTCTTGATGCATTATAGTGAGCCAAATGTACATCTGACTAATTTAGGAGAAGAACCAAATCAGATAGACAGACTAATGTCAGGATCAAACTCTTTCAAGCAGAGCCAGAGAAGTCAATGCTGCAATTGCTTGCTAAGTACTGTGCCACAACATCTGGCTCCACAGGACTGACACTTGGTCAAAAATCAGTGTGAAAAGCAATAAATTATCCCAATAAACACAACTGATCTCATCAGTACAAATTTCTTCAGTTTGCTGATATACTCAAGAGCAAGGATATGTTTTCTTGAAATTCCGCTTTGCTCTTCTCATCTCTACCATGAGCCTGTTTTTA